TCTCGCCTATGTTACAGCAGTAGATCCCAAAAGTTCCTCCAGGATCACAGAAACACTATTACTTTATGGGGAGACAGTAATCTCCCTTTCTCGTTTTGTAAGTGCAACCAGACTTGCAAAGTACAATCCTTAAAGCAATATTTCTCAACCGTGGGAACTTCGAGATGAGTGGACTTCAAGACTTCAAGTCTTGCCGGTGGGGAATTCTGGGAGTTGAAGTCCACCCATCTTAAAGCTGCCAAGGTTGGCACACACTGCCTTAAAGGGTCACGTGAAAAAAAAAAACTTAATTAGGTTGAGTAAGTTATTCTATCAATTCAGTGAAAATTGGGCTAAGAGCAACATAGTGCAGTTTTTGTATAAAAGCTAAAAGGACTTCACAAATCGTTTTCTACAACACGAGCTTAGAGGTTGGAATAAAAACCAAAAATGTGAAAGAAATGTTCAGAAGATACGGCAGCGACGACAACATTGTGGCTTTTCCTTTCTTAATTTCCACAGGAGTCTCAAGAGTCGCCGTGACAGCCTTCGTTCCGGTGGTGGGCCAGGAAGGCCTGCTTACAGGAAATATCAGAAGACGGGACTTGTTCCCCTCAGAGAACGATCCCTGGCAGCCCAAAGGCAATGCCCACGGCCCCACGCGTATTCTCTACCTGTCCGGTTTTCCCCCAATTGCAGCCACGTCAGTATTTTTGAAGTTCTTCTAATTGGCTTCCCTTTTGTATTGCAAAAATAAATGAAGTTTGTGGGGGGGTTTCCTAATGTTCTAGCTGGTGTGTGTATTTTGTCCTGCACCCTGTTTATGGTCCCCAGCGGTAGTGTAGGTAGCCTTGTCCAACCAGGGGGAGCTTCACCATTTTCTGTCAGCACCTGCAGCAAAAGTCTTAACCTGCCCTCCACACACACCCCTTGCTCAGAAGCCCAGGTGAGATCAGGAACCTTCCGCTCCAAGTTGCCATTGGTCTCTCATGGACCTGCCTTGTGGATGTGCCCAGGTGAGACCAGGGGTCTTAAGAACCTTATGCTCTTCTCTTTATGAAGCCACAAAGGTAGTCTTCAATTTATGACCACAATTGGACAAGGACATCTGTTGCCAAGCATAAGCGAGGAGGTCGTGAATTGTGCCTGATTTTACAACCTCTTTTGCCACAGCTGTTAAACAAATTACCACAGTTGGTAAGTGATTCTCATATTCGCTAAGCGAATCTGGCTTCCCCCATTGACCTTGGTTGTCAGGAGCCACCTGGGAAGGTCACCAATGGTGATCACATGATCCCGGGATGACACAGCTGTTGCAAACATGGACCGATTGTCAAATTTTGCTTGAATTTTGATCTCGTAACTGTGGGGACACTTCGAAGCTCATAAGTTACTTTTTTCAGCCTTGTTGTAAATTGGAGTGGTCGCTTAACGAACATCCGTACGTTGAGGACTACCTGTGTTTCAGAGCTTCCCTCTGCAAAGGGCAGCCTCTTTGTGTCTTGGGGGTCACAAGTCTCTCAAAACACAGTTTGGCCCTGGAGAGCCGCAGGTCACGTGTCCAGTATGCTGCAACCTTCGGCCAGGGTTTCGCATCGCTGGCGGCCCCATCCCTTCCCCAAAATGGGGGAAATTGGCACCGTTGTGTATTTAGGGGCTGAACAGCATTTAAAGCAGCCATTCCTTCTCTTCATTCCTCCAGCCCAAAATGCTGTTCCCATCCTCAAAATGGGAGCTAGTCCTCCACTTATGACCAGTGACCTGCACAGCAAAGCAGATATTCTCCCCTCTGCAGGAAACTGACCGGCTAAGACACTGAGATTGTCGATCAGAAAGGTCGGCAGTTTGAATCCCTAGTATAGGTCTCCTGTGTGAGCAGGGGGTTGGACTAGATGACCTCCAAGGTCCCTTCCAACTCTGTTATTAATGGGGATTTGCCTATCAGTCTTTCTTTAACACTTTTCCCCTTGTGATCTTATATAGATCCTTATGTAAAAGGATTAGATACTGAGATTATTATTAACTTTCTTCAGCCAAAATTCCTCCCCCCCCCCCCCAACACACACCCCATATACACACCTGGTAATTAGCTGAAATCTGATTCCCTATCCAAGAAGCCTGGCCTCGGAAGAACAGAACTGAAAGAAAGAATACCCTCCCTTCACATAAAGCCATTTGGAACTTAAGCCTTGAGAAGGAAGGGGAGAGAAAAATAAAGACACACAGTTCAATTTAGCAACCAGACAAACTTTGGCCTCTCACAAGAGTTTTGACTTCCTCCAGGCAAAAGGAAATAAATCCGTGCTGAAACTGGGATGGGATGGGAGGAGAGCTTGCATGTGGCACAGGTGAGTGGCAGAGTTGGGTTCAAACAAAACGGACGTGTGATGGGAATAAACCTGCCAGGGAAGCTGGAAGCAGGAGAGAAAATGAAAAGAGTAACCTTTTCTTCTGCTTTTTTCACTTCCAACAGAAGGGCAAGAATAAATATGCTGGGACCCAGGCTGTAAAGTGGCTAAATTGCAAGCAACCATTAAGAACGGTTTTAAACGAAAGGATTCTGGATGCCAGGTTTATCTGGGACGCAGGGAGCCCTCAATTTAGGAGCACAATTGAGCCCAAAATTTTTGTTGTTCAGCGAAACTGGTCAAGGGGGTTTTGCCCCGTTTTACTACCTTTCTTGTCACAATTGTTAAGTGAATCACTGCCGTTGTTAAATCAGTCACACAGTTGTGTTAAGGGAATGTGGCTTCGCTTGTCAGAATGTCTCAAAAAAAACCCCAGGATGCTCTGACCGTCATAAATATGGGTCAGTTGCCAAGCATCAGCTGACCCTGCGGAGGCTGCAACGGTCGTCAGTGTGAAAAACAGTCATAAGTCTCTCTTTTCAGGGCCGTCATAACTTTGAATGGTCATTAAATGAACCGTTATAATTCAAGGACTACCTGTAATAACAATTTAACAAAATCTCATCCACAATTTTTATTTTAGACGGGAGGGCAAAGTTGACTTGCTTTACTGAAAAAGGGGAGGGGAGGATGAAGGGGGGAATTCCTGCCCCCTCCCTGATTTCACGTCTGACTCCAGCCCCGATCTCAGAGCAGGAGGGGTGGGGTGGGGGGAGGGGGGCTGCTGGTGTCAAGGTGGGGCTACACCCCCCATGGCCAGGTTCAAGGTCTGGTGTGTCTGGTGGGACCCAAAGGGGCAGCTGGGGATGCTGGGTGGGGTATCGCTCGCCCTGCTTGCAGAACGGGACCCCTCCCTGGGCTGCTCAGCCAAATCACTGGGGTGGGGCTGGTGGCCCCCAAACTGGTTCTGTGTGGGGGGATTTCAAGCCACCTTCTCTGGGTGAGGGTGGAGGGTTGTTCGGTGACTTCTCAGGCGCTCCTGCAGCCCCTCCTGGATCTGAAGGCCGCCTTAGTAGTTATGCCCAGGGGATGCCTGTTAATGGACTGTCCTGGCAATACAAAACGTAGCAGCCCAGGTGGTGATGATGTAGTTTGGCCTACTCAGGTGACCTTGCCGTTGCTGGCTGGTCTTCCTACTCAAGGTGCTAGTTGTCATAACGGCTGTGCACTTGGTCACCTGTCCGACCTCCTCCTCCCATCTGAATCTGCCTGCCAGATCAGATCAGATGGGATCGATCCCAGTAAAGGAGAAGATCTCTAGCTCAGGGTGGAGAGGGAGGATCTTGGCGCTCTCTGAGCTTGGTTGTTTTCTTGCAGAAGTTTCCTTACCAAACAAGGTAACCTCATCGGTGGGGCTTGCAGGGAGGAAGAGGAGGGGGGGAGGATTGTGGGGTCCTTGGCGCTCTCTGAGCTTGCTTGTTTTCTTGCAGACGTTTCATGACCCAGCTAGGGAACAACATCAGTGCTAGCAATGATGCACTAGCACTGATGATGTTACTGAAGTTCAGAGAGCGCCAAGGACCCCTCAGGATCAGTTCCCTCCAGGTCCCATGATCTACCCAAGAAAGCTGCCTGATGGGGCCTTGGGAATGGACATTTTTTATCACAATCTCCCCCCCCCCAGTTAAAATCTGCTCTTCTCGTTTCCTTCTGGGTTTCAGGCGGGCCTTGAAGGCTCCGTTATTCCATCAAGCCCAGAAGGGTGGCATGCTGGGATTGAAGACTGGAATTTGGCAGATGCGATTTTTTTTTTCTTTTTGCATAATTTCACTACCAGGTTTGACTTACTTTATAGCTAGCATTATTTATTATTATTTCTGAAGTGTTTTTGTTTTCACTTGGTGATGTTTCTGATTTTTAGAAGTTTCAGAACTTTGATTTGGTTGGACAGATTTCTCGACATAGACCAAGACATCTTACTCTGATGTCATCCCTGCTTCAGTCTAAAATCATTGCTGGGCAAGCAGAATCTTTCCGGGCAACCTGGCCTGGTGGTTGTAAACCCTTCCCTGCTGACCGCTCTGAGGGCAAAGGACCATCCCTCCCGTTGACTCTGTGCCACCAAGTTGGAATCGACCCTTAGCAGCCACGTAGGTAGAACTTCTCCAGGGTCCATTTACACCCCTGGCCCTTCAGGCCTTCCAGAGGTGCATCCATCGTTGCCGTAATCCAATATGCCTCATCATGCTAAACCAAACCATGGATTCCCAGCAACCTTACACAGGCCTTGTTTTGGGGGTCGAAATGCAATGCCCTACCAGACGCTTAGGATCCTGCAAGGGTAAGTTCCTCTTATTGACCTCACAGTCTATTTAAATTGGACCTCGAGAAAAGTGGAATAGCCTGTCGCCTCAGCTTCACAATTATTTGACATCTCCATTTTAAAAAAAAACCCTTCCAGTTCTTACAGCACTTTGGAGAAGGACCTTCGACTACGGCCCTTTACTCTCCATTCTTGGCAGAGGTGTTGGTTGGACTTTACACCAAATTAGCTTTTTCTCTCTTGACTGGCAAGAGATGGAAAATCACGTTCCAAATTCTTATGGATGTTTCCATGATTTTGCTCTTTGCCGTTATCTGTAAGCTAGCCGATTGGTTCCATCTCAACTAAAAGTATTTCCTATATTTATTTTGTAATGCATTGACACATTGTACATTGAATACACTGAATCATCAAATGCACAACACCAAAGGTTTTTAAAACATTAAAAATATCCACACAACATTTTGATTAAGCCAACCAACTAGACTCTCAACATAAAGTTACAGGCAAATGATGCGTACTTGCAAAGAATGGCGGATTTAGCGGGCGATGTCAAGGTAGCTGGGAATGTTGGGCACATGGATGAGGCAGCTCTGTTTTTTCTGTGGGTTACTTCTGCCTTCTCGTGAGCAAGGATTCTAGGCTACGATGAAGAACAAGGCCTGAAAGACCTACTTGGAGTGGGTCTGTTCTGGAGGGATCATGGAGCACCCCTCATGTGCTTTGGGAAGGAACCAAGGCTCTCCTGACCCACCTTAGAACATTCTTGAAGGAATTCCTCAGAAGCAGAACTTTAGCTGAGAAGTTGCACGCAGGAGAAGTCCTGTTTCATTGATGGACTTGCCAGGGGTCTAGGACAACTTGCCCCAGCCAATTCTCCATGGGACAAGAGTTACTCTAATATCAAAGAAATGGTGGAATAGGATCATTAAAGAAAGGATACAGAAAGGAGGGACAGAATGAAATGTGAATGACAAAAATTAAAATTATTTTAAGTAATTGAACTGAATTGTTGAATTATCCTGTGGCAGGTTGGCCATGGTGAGTTGGCTATGGCAAGTTGTCCCATTCTAACCTCACCACATCATTGAGCCCTTGGCCACTTCATGTTCCTTGAGCCTTCACAACCCTTTAGCCTCTCTTTCTTATTCAAACTATGATCACATGGCATTACAACAATCTGAATCTGCTCTGAAAGGATCCAGTCATCATTCCAGAGAGTCTAATCCTCTGGATCTTGGTTCAAAATATCACAAAGCCAACTTCTGGGAATTGAGACTCATCTGGTGACGATCTCCATTATAGGATCCCTCTTCAGCTAATTAAGCCAAACTAGTTTCTTGGGATCAGAGGTGGACATATAGATAACATCTCTAGGCCGACCCTTCCATTCAACATGTGTGCCACTGGCTACTCCTGATGGAGTAACAAGGCAGGAATGCTGCTCTCTGGCAAAGACGTGGTGAGACTTGGGCAGTGGGAGACTTTGGGTGGCAGATTAGGAACAAGGAGAGAACAATAAAATGCAAGGTGCATTTGCGGAATCAGGGTGAAGAGGAAGGCAGTGAGACATCGACCCAGACAGAAATGGGAAGAGGCCAATATACCGTGTTTCCCTGAAAATAAATCTGGGTCTTATATTAATTTTTGCTCCAAAAGACGCATTGGGGCTTATTTTTCAGTTAGGTCTTATTTTCAGGGAAATACAGTACTAAATGCATCCATCTAGTTGAGGATCTTAATTGGAACTTATTTTTGGTGTAGGGCTTATATTACAAGCATCCTGAAAAATCATGTAGCGCTTATTTTCCTGGTTGGGTCTTATTTTGGGGAAAACACGGTAACACAGATTCATTTTGCAAGTACCTCTAAGGATGGGAATAACAAATTGGTTTCCAATTGAGAACTGTTGTCTATGGAAGTCCAGGCTGAAACGTCAGTTTGTGAAATACAAGCCTATTTGTTTCATGGAGCTCTGTAATTATCTGTAGCACCGGGAATTCTTAGAGGACTGGCCTGCCAATGAACTAGAGATGGAGGCCCTGCAGCTGGAAAACCTCTCGTTCAATGTTGATCTCCCTAGTTAGAGAAGAATGTGGGCTAGCAGAAGAGAAATTCTAGGATGGTCGTGTGCAAACTCTGAAAGATAGTTAAACCGGCCGATCTGGTGAGTGTTTATAGAGCTGTGGAAACGGTGTTTGAGTGGGCTGAGGTGTGGTCCCAGTTCTAAAGACGGGGACTGGGTCTTCCAAAAATACAGTGAATTTGGTTGCCTATTTTGGGACTGGATGTGTTCACATGAGAGCAAAAACACCTTAGTTGATAAGCATATGGCGCCATTTCCCTTCCAATTCTGAAGTACTCTTTTACCAAATGACTTGTGTGTGTGTGTGTGACTGAGCTAAAACTGAAATTGTGTGTTCAAATTAAAATGGGAGAAGAGCAATAACTAGCCAATTGGCTCTGATTTAACTTCTAGGCCATTTGAGGGAATTAAAAATTGCATTGGCCACTTTAGAAAATATCACCAAGTCTAACTTTAATTGCTAAGAGTTCCTTATTCTTCCCAATGTCATTCCATTCAGCACAATTGTGGGTCTATGAGTCATAAACACACTTTGCCATCCCTGGAAGCTGTAGAGGAACCATCAAACTATACAAAGATGTGAATAAGGTACAAAGACTGAACCATTATTTATTTATTTATTTTTTATTTATTTTTTTTAAAAAATTGATTTATAATGCCGCCCTTCTCCGGAGACTCAGGGCGGCTTACAATGTGCTAAGCAATAGCCTTCATCCTTTTGTATATTTATACAAAGTCAGCTTATTGCCCCCACAACTGGGTCCTCAATTTACCTACCTTAGAAAGGATGGAAGGCTGAGTCAACCTTGAGCCTGGGGAGATTCGAACCTGCAGTAATTGCAGACAGCTGGTCTTAATAACAGGGTGCTTTAGACCACTGTACTACCAAGGCTCTATAACCATGAAGAAAATACCTCACTAAGTCATTAAAATGCCTGTTGAACCAGGCATAATGGTGCCCTTGACCAAAGATGGGTTGAGATGGGAGGTCTCAGTTCTGTTAAGTTTAGGACAAAATGCTGAGGAAACCAATCACAGGTGGTATTTCTTTCCCTCTGCATTCTTCCTACCAGGACAGAAGAGCTTCTCTTTCACTTATTAACTCTCAAGATTATTGCAAGGAAGGTTTGTATCCCAGGAAGAATCAAGAGAAATGAAGTTTAATGTGTTCGCCAGATGTCCCAAAAAGGTGCTTTTTCCAAGAGGCAACTGGACTTTCTTTGTTTTTCTTTGAAGACGTTTCACTTCTCAGAACTGAAGAAGCTTCTTGAGTGAGAAGTGAAACATCTTCAAGGAAAAAAACAAGGAAATCCAGTTGCCTCTTGGGAAAAAAAGGCATCTTCATGACAACCATGATCTGGATGATTGAGATTCTCCATAGAATACGTATTTGCCAGATGGTGATATTAAATCAGAATGGAATCCGAGAAATAAATACTAAATACTGCTGTAAAATATGTAATACATATGTATGTGAATATGTATGTAGGTACGTGAAATACCCTGACTGTATGCATCAGAGACTTCTATTCAACATACCTCCAGGATCACAACACCAAAATTTGGTAGCAACCAGGAAAGTTTAAGCTCTGCTAGGCAGCAGACTTATTTTGCATCTAAAATCTGATCCCAGACTTGGCTAACCATAAGGAAGGATGACAAAATGCCTTTGATCTTCCAGTGATGTCACCTTATCACAAAAGCTCCTTTAGATCCTCCCAGGCCAAAAGATGCTAAGAATTTCCTGTCTTTCCTCTGAAACGCAGAAAGTATCTGCTTGGCACTGCTAGAAATAGCAATAGCCGTAGCCCTTTGACTTATATACCGCTTCACGGGGCTTTACAGCTCTCTCTAAGCGGTTTACAGAGTCAGCCTATTGCCCCCAACAATCTGGGTCCTCATTTTACCGACCTTGGAAGGACGGAAAGCTGAGTCACCCTTCAGCTGGTCAGAACCAGACTGCTGGCAGCCGACAGGCAGCAGAATTAGCCTGCAGTGCTGCGTTCTAACCACTGAGCGACCACATCTCTTCAGTAGTACATGATGCACATCCATGATCCAAACTATTAACCATTTCCTTGTCCGCGTTGCTCTGTCTCCTCCCCCTTGTCCTGCCTGTGTCTATTTCGGAATGTGGCGCTGCGCATGCCAGAACATGGCTGCCAACCTCCAAAAGGCTGGTGCTCCCATCACGCAACCCTCTTCGTTCCCAAAGACCCAAAGTCTTTGTAACCAAAATGGGATCGGCTGCAGTTCAGTGGGTCCTCACAGATGTTTAAAAGCCTTCAGGAAAAAAATAAAGGACAGAATAATGTCGCCCACAAATTTTGCGGAGACTGGAACTTGCCCATAATCATGCAAACTGATATCAGGCTGGGAAGAGACGGAGCGCTGAGGGGGGCAGCAAGGGCTCCTTTGAAGTTCTAAGCTGTAAGCCGTCCTGTGGCAAGCAGCAAATCTCTGGGTGACGTTAAGAGGCCCTCTTCATGGGCTGCTTCACCCAGACTTCATGAGGCAGGTGATCCACTGGAGCTTTTAGAAAAGGGCAAGTACCAAACCACGGAGAACCGGCCCATTTCCTCCGCAGAAGCTTCGGTGCTGCTTCCCAGGAGCGTAGTACTGAGCGAATTAAGACAGACGTTCACAAACTCCTTTTTCACAGATGGCAAAGCTCACAAAACATAATTCATTTTCATTACTCAACGCTTCCAATATTTAGACAATATGTAATGAAACAGAAAATTATGTTTTGGATGTAGTGCAAGAAACGTTATAGGAAGGCATCTGACATGATCATTTTCGGCTAATTGCGGTTTCTAAGGAGAACTTGCGTCGGGTGCTTCCTGTGTGTTGATGATGTTTAAAAGCATAAGAGGCGAAATGTCTCTGGAGAAGGATCCCATTCACCCTCTGCTTTGTGCCAACAGGTTCCTGCTTCTGGGTGGCAGTGTTAAATGGCAACGTGGTGGGCATCGTGGCGGCCCGAGGCAACGAGGAGGACAACACGGTGGAATTGCGCCGCATGTCCGTGGACTCTAAATACCGTGGTAAAGGGATCGCTAAAGCTCTGGGTCGGAAAGTGCTGGAGTTTGCCGTGGTCAATAACTACTCCGCTGTGGTGCTGGGGACCACGGCGGTGAAGGTGGCAGCCCACAAGTTGTATGAGTCCTTAGGCTTCAAGCATGTTGGGGTGGTGGAACACTACTCTCTGCCTGGAATGACCCATTCGATTCTAGAGCAAATGTTCTTCCAGCTTCGCTACCACCGCTATTGCCTGCAGCTGCGTGAAGAGTGAGGGAGCCTCATCTTCATGGCGGCCCTCCCCAGAACCTCCTGGCCAACGTTTTGTGGGGGTTTGTGTCATGGTTTATTTGCCATCTCTTCATTTCATGTTCTTCATTGGCTTTGTACCAGTCCTTGTACAAGCGAAGGGCCCTTCTCCTTCTCTGAAATGCTTGTAGGGTGATGGCGGCGCTAATGCTGGAGGTCTGGTGGATCTGCCCTTGGCCTGACCTGGGTCAAGGTCAGGATGGACACGCTCACTCTCCCAGTCTTGCCCCGGTTAACCTACATAAGCACAGAAATGTCAATGCATAACAAGGCTGCTTGTCTGACGTGTGTCATAAATAATAATAATAATCTCCTTCCCCCCCTCCCCCCAAGTATTAAAAAAAGCGATACTTCATGATACAGCTCAGTGCAAAAGTTTTATGTGAATGCATTTCTCCGTATTTTAGTAGTATGCATTCACGTTCTCATGATATAATACCGGTTAATCATGCTGAAAGAAAATGTGAAAATCCTGCTTGCTATAATGCATGAAGAGGAAATATTTGCATGCATTCAAACACACTATCAAGTAGGCACTAATAATAATAATAATAATGCACTTTCTGGATGTACCTCCCTGCTGCCCAAATTCTCAAGAATATTGGTGCATCTCACACCCGGGACTTGGTCCTTTATCCTCGTTTTCTTCCTAAGCCAGCAAATACGAGCCCTGAGCCCAATGTAATATATGTAAATTACAGAAATATCAAATATGCGAATGTAGATAGACTTTGAGGTCCCCTGCCAGATATCTCCATCCAGAGTGTTAATTTTCCTTTATTGAAGAGTTTTGTTTATTACATTCGCTTAAACGATCCAAACTCTTTGCTTTTGCGGACTGGTTTCCCAGAGGCAAAATGGAGACTTCTGTTTCTATGGCAACACACCTGTACGCTAATAATGTGCACCAAATCTGAACGCTTGAGAAAAAGCAATATGCAAAAGAGAGAGAGAGAGAGAGCTGGAGTTGCCGGTTTCAGCTGAAGGAGGCCAGGAAAGCAAAGACTTTAATCAGTTGCTACTTGCTAGTGGGATAACAAATATAGACGAGCTGACGTACAACGTCACTGCTGCTTTAACGATGACACATTTGTGAGTTGTACAGCTCCGTGCAAAAAGCAATGCAACGCAACCGAGATATGGCATGCTGTCTGTTGGAGCCCGGCATGAAAACACCCGAGGTTGCAGCTTCTTCTGCCTTGAAATACCAACCTCTATTTCAAGAAATGGCAACTTCTGCATTAATGACATCCGAATAGAAGCCAGGCAGCTTTGGGGTTTAAAAGGCAATAGGTTCAGAAAAGCTCAGAAGATTTCTGGTTGCCTTTATTTTGCGGGGAGAAGGAAGCTGGAGGGCTGAGCTTGATAAAAGCAGCTCTCATTTAACATTTCCTCCGGTTGAAAAAAATGGGATAGAAATTGGGCCCCCCCACCCGATGGGAGGGAGAAGGTCCCAGAGATGGATGAAGCCGAGGGGAGTAGATGAGAGTAGAAAGACCCTCGCCAAGTCAGTCCTTTGGCCTGTCAATGGAGGAGAGAAGCTGCGTTTCTATTCGGTGACAGGGAGGCTCTTTGTATCTTGCTCTGGTCTCAAAATGAGGAATGGGTGGGAAGATAGGAAAGGCCGCCTGAATTTTCCTCACTTCAGGGCCCGTGGTGAGGAGCCTGCAGTGCAGCCCCTTCCCCGTAGCTGTGCTTCCTGAAGACCAGCCGTAGCTCCATCCTTACCCAGGAGGGGCACCGGTGATGGGAGAGGGGCTTCCTCGTTGCTCCCCCCCCCCCCGTCTCAAGCGTGCAGCAACTTGGACGACGAGGCTCTTCAGGCTGATGACCAAATAAAGGGAGAAGGACGGGTCACAGAACACGGTTATTCTGCTTCAAGGGTGACTGCCTTCCTGCCTCAGACGGTGCCATGAGCTCAAAATGGCCACACCAAACTGTGTCCCAGCAATAAAACCCCTGATCAGGACTAAAGACTGACTTGATGAACAGAATGTACTTACTGGAACCGAGTGTGTGTGCGTGTCTTGATGTAGAATGTATTTTTTTTAAAAAAAGAAAAATTCTATGCTGTACATTTCTCTTGAAGCTCTTCAAATGTGTGCCGTTGGGGGAGGGGGGGGATGTAGGATAGAGGTGTATAGTGTACAGAAATTGGTACGATATTTTATAGCTGTTTTTGGTGATTACATTAAACTGCGTAACCCAGATGAATATTATAAAGTGTTAGGGAAAAAAGGGAAAGGGAGGAACTGCTTGTGCCTTTTGATTTTTTTTTCCTTTTGTGTTCTTCTGTTATCTTTGCACTAAATGGTTTCTGGAGAATTAATAGTTCTATATAGCCTAATGAACTGAACGATGAAAGTGATACATGACCTCTGTGGACTGCGATGGATTTTTATTGAGGCACTTTAAGAATGCGGATGGTTTAATGCTCGTACCGGTGGAGATTTCCTCTTTCGTAGCTGGGTGACCCAACACCAGACAGGGAAGTCTACTCTGCAAGACCTTCACTGAACTGTCATTGTATGATAACCTTTTTACAATTGCATATGGGAGCAAGCTTCTGAAAATACATGAGTCTTGAAGTGTTGCTTACCCGGCTTCTGCCTAATTCATTCATGCAGTTAGTCAAAGGGATCTCTTGTCCAGCTCCTTGTATCTTCTGTCCACTCCCTTTAAATTACAGTACCTCAGCAAAGGGCTGACAGAAAACATCCTTGACCTCTTTTTCTGGGCTTCTCCTGTAAGGTCTCACCTTGCTTTTCGACCACCAGGGAAGGAGCACTAAATCTCTGCAGTGAAGGCCTTACGGAAGACGGAAGCCTGATGAATGTCTGTTAAAGAGGAGAGGAGAGCTTGAACGATGGATGGGACACACGAGGAGGTGGTGTTTTTACATAGAAAACATGATTCTAATGGACACGGGTGGTAATAACCTGAAAGCAGAAGATGCCAGGAGGGGATTGTGTCACGTTCAAAGAGTGGCCGTATCATCCATCTAGGAATAATGGGAAACACATATTTCAGTATAAATCTAGAGGGAACCATATTCTATTAGGTGGTTTTACCTTGGAGGGGAAAAGAGATGCAGGATGCAGGAAACAAAGTTTCCATCAAATCTTCATCAGCGGAAGGAAGAGGCCCCAGATTGTGATGGGGTGGAGATGGGAGTTTAGAGCATTTTACAGCTATTGAGAGAATATGCTAAGTGCAGAGAAATGCAATCCTCCAGGGACTTATCCAGCTCCATCTGCGTATGCTTTCATCTTCAACCTGATTTAAAAAAAAATAAAAAAATAGGTATTATGTTTTTGAAAAGGATGTAGCAATGATGCCTGTACAGAGCTATACCGATTTACCAAACCTTTTTCCCAGTTGAGAGAGCTAGCACAACCAATAGCAGCTTAAATAGCAGCTTAAAGACTTGTGGTGTGATTCTGTGCCTCCTACCTCACAAACAAATCAATTACGCCACGTTCAGTGGGCCTGTTTCCAGCCAGCTGCACGCTGATCTATGACTCTTCCTGGCATCAGCAACGCCACGTCTTCAAGGGGCAATATTTTTCATGTATTATAGATGTCTGCCTTCCTATGACTGACTTTATAACAGGCAGGTTTCTCCTGCAAATGCTGCAGATATTTTTTTGGGGGGGGGGATTATAGACCCCCAATGCTGTAGGTGTCTTGGGCTGGTCTTTTCAAAAGAACTTGATGTGAGGCCTGGCACCAATTCCTGGGCCGATGGGGAGCAAAGGCAGCTGCCAGTATAACCAGGCCTGACTGAATGGGGCTGATTCTGAGCCTTCTCCTGGAGCCAAATATCTGGATTTCCCCCCAGATTTCTGTGTATTGCGGGCTTTTTTGCTGCCTCATTTCTCCAGCTTTTGCTTGGAAATATCCCCCTAACCAAAATGACAGCAAAGCTGCTATTTGTGAGGATGATTTCATTGCGGCCAGTTTTGTGAAATGATCTCTCTTAAACTTGGATTTCTGCTATGAGTAAGGAAGGTGTTTGGGGTTTTTAAAAATTTTGGCTTGGAGCAACGGGGCAAGGAGTTCTGGCACTGAAGTCTTTATCACAGAGGTGGCTGCCTCTGTGATAAAGGGGACTGGGGGACTGTCAATCAAAGCAGCCACGATCCTTCAATCAAAGAGCCACCATGGGTGTTGCAGCAGATGGAGAAAAGGGGCTGAGCTTTGATCTCATGGTTGAGACCACCTATCTTGGCTTCCTTGGCTCCTTTCCTATGGACCTCTCTGCTTTATCACATCCACAAAACGCTCAATTGTTTAATTAATCAATACTTAATCTCCTAATTGATTTCTTCCTGGAATTTATTGCATTATAGAAATGTAACTTAGAAAGCCAAAGCTCTTATGCAGCCTCCACCGAGTTTCTGCTCTACTGCTCTCCTCAGCTGCATAATTCCAAAATCATCCTGCAGAGAGATACGTTTCTGTTTTGGCCTATAGAACCAAGCGGTTGTATTCTTGGAGTATTTTGTTTGTGTCCTTTTTATAGGCTTCATAAGATGCACCAATTTACAAAAACCATGCAAATGTTTTGGAAAAGGTATTTCATAAGGGAGGCTCCTCATGAAGCCCGTCTTCAAATCAGCCGTATCTCACACACGACAACTTTGGACGCCATTTCCGGCTGTCTCCACCCGTGTGTGCATTCACTTCTGGGGTTCCTGTGCAAGTCTGGAAATGCGACTTGCCTGCTGCAAAGCTCCTCTTTGGAAGTGACTCGCCCAGAGGGGTCACCCAGAGGCCAAGAGCCTGAAAGTGCTTTCACCCACAGAAATGACTCCTGGAAAAAGTGCTCTGAAAATGGGCTAAAAGCTCCATTAGTCACGCCAGGTGGGCAGTTCAGGAGCTCCTGAGGGCTTCTGACCGTCTCAGCAGCTCTTGCTTTTCTTTAAATTAGTGGCTTATCTACCACTTGCTCCCAAGGTGGAAAATGGGGCCCGTGGCTTGAATCTCACAAAGTGGGAATACCTTAAATAAGAGCCTCTCCTCTCCTTCTGATCTGCTGCAGGACGGGGGGCAGTCGCAATGTTTTCCAAATACTTGAGACAGCTTTTCAGCCTGTGTTTAGCTTGATGCCTTTTGTCCTCTTCAATTTCCAAATCTAGACCCCGCAGGACCCTTCTCCTTCTCCTACGATCATTAGAAGAAGCACAAAGGTTTCTAGCTTTCAGCTCCCAGAACTTTTGCTGTCAAAATGTGTGACATATCTGAGCTTCTTCCAAACTGGATCGCTCAGGATTTTGCTAAATCTGTCGTCCAAGTTTTAGCTTTGCTTCCTTGATACAGGATGTGCCTGATCTTCTCTGATGGCGGTTAGATAACGTTTCTCTCAAGGTTACGACTCGGCTGAACTTCACCAAACAAGGCTGGGGCTTATAGATTCTTCTACGGCTAGGTGGCGGGTATATTTAATTATTTACCCGCCCAGCTTTTTGAAAAATATATAGATGATATTACGGCCAGTCAAGCTTCTTTAGAACAAATTGGACATTAGAATTTGAATTCTAAAAGTTTACTGCAAATCCAAGCCTCTCAATAGATGTCAGTACAAAAAAACACCTCGTTTATTAGTGAAGCAGCTAATGACTTCGCAGGGGCCTTCTCTCTGCTTTTACATCCACCAGTTATCATCGGATGACAAGCCAATCTCTAGCTTTGGAGAGGTTATAATATATGCCGTAGGTGCATGCAGTCGTGTGCACATACATGATGATACTACGTAATCATATATGTAATAATCTCTCTATCTCTGATATATACAGAAAATAAGCAATGGCTCAGATTGAACAGCCTATTTGTATGTTGTTTGAATATGTCCAAAAAAAACCCTAAAATTTTCTGGGCATAGGCTTTAAAATGATGCTTGTATTTAAGCCAGTATAGTACCATCTTATTCTACTCCAACCATTGTTGTTATTTCTTTATTTATTTATCTGTACGAAGTTAATATATTTCATAAGAGATTTTCTATCCCACCAAGGCTGTTTCTCACTGACGCTTAATGACAGGCACGTCAGAGCTCTGAAGCGTGTTTCCTTCTGCCTTCGAGAAAGAGTTTTCAGCGATGAAAGTCTCTTCTTAAAAATAGCCCCCTGCTTTCATTCCCAAAGAGGCAGAAATGGGCCTGGGTCACAGCCTCCGTGAATGACACATCCGGCTTCGGTACTTAGGGAAGTTTTAGAGATGTTGTATCTCAAACGTGATGACTTTTAAAATGCGTGGACTGGCTGGGGAGTTCTGGGAGTTGAAGTCCACAGCTGTTCTTGCGCTTAGTTTATTTCAGGAGCTTTGTTTCTTCCCTTTCTGGATCGAGGTCTTCTTATCCTCCAACCCACTGTGGTCACTGCAGGCCCTCGGTGGCTTTCATCTGTATTGCCTTAGTCAGTTGTGTTAATCTTCTTTTCCTTCTCAGTTCTGTGCTTTGTTTTTGGGTTCTCCCCTTTTGTCTGTTCTCCACCTTCAGGAAGAGAGACATAACATTACCTTAAAGGGCCTTTTCTGAAAACCTCTGGAGCCTGGAAGTAAGCTTTCTCCCAATGACTAATGAACAGTCCTCCTATCTAATCTGTCTAGATGACAGACACGTGAGCCTTTGCTCACATTGCCAGCGTTGACTGACTCATCCTCGGTGCACTTCTGTGGCCCCACCAAGGCCACCCTGCAGCCGGAGAAGTGAGTGACGTCTCTCTGAGGATGGCCCAGCCCTTGAGCAAAGCGAGAGAAAGCAGAAGGATGGCTGTTGCAAAGCACCACATCTGGATGCATCCGCCAGGCAAACCCAATACAAGGTTCTGGGTCCGAAGGGGGCCTTCGGCTTGCCTACGTGTGACCCGATGCCCCCGCTCTGAGTTCCCAGAGTTCTCTTCACTGGGCTAAACAGCCGTTCAGGAGATAAGCTGTCAACTGACTCACTATCTTGGGATTGTTTAGGTCTGTGTTGTTTTCATCCCTTTCCCAACCTCCCCCCAATCACTCAAAGACTCGTCAACGCCGGATGTTTATATCCGGGCTTGGCATTTGAGATGTTCTGATGGTGTTGAGGTGGCTCAGGGGGCTGCTGGTGGTCTGGTCCTTCTCAAGGCCAAAGCTCTCCCTCTTTTTCGTACTTCTGCCCTTTATAGGCAATCTCCAGTACTTTTGTCTCCAGTTATGCAGATCTTCCTCTTCAGATTATCTGTCCTCTCACCTCTTCTCATCAAAAAGTTGTTATGCCATATTTCAACAGGATAGCTCATTGCACAGGGGCCATGGAAAATTTTCACCTTCTCATAGACCACCCTCACTTTGGTGGTTGGGGGTCTTCCGCAGAAGCCTTGGTAGTTTCTGGTTTGGAAAACCTACCCTTAACTTCACAAACAATGACAGTGTCTTCTCTACTGCAAAACCCACCTGCTTTGGCTGATTTACAATCCTTACCCATAATGATGTTCAATACGACACTCCCTGGCTGCACCATTTCCATGGTTCCCCCCATTGAATTCACCCAGGCCGTCCGAAGGGATTTCAGACTAATCTGAAGGGGATGCAGGGTCGGGCTAGTGACCTTTGACCCCAGCCTCTTTCCATCTCTCGCTCAGAATCTCCCGTCACCCTCCGGCCACGAACTTCCCAGTCTTTTCCTTCTGAATCTTCTCAGCTGCCCTCTCAATCAATGTCCATGGCTTCTTCCAGTGTTATCGCCCCCTCCCTAGAAAGGTTTGTCCCCAGAATAAGGTCACTTGGTCTGAACTCCAAACAGTCAAACTCTACTTCATTCTGCACCTATTCTAGACTGAGTGCACGTTTCTTTTTGGAAATGACGGCTCCAAAGCGAACTGCTCTCTGCTCTCTTGCACATCCATAACGAGGAGATACTAATCGGCCCATGGAGATTATCGGGACTTGGTCTCCAAGAAAAGCCTTGTTCCTGTCCCTTTCCCCATTCAGAACTTGGGAGGATCTCTTCAGTTTCTTGAATCGCAAGGAGGCTCCTTCTCGTTTTTAGCATCAAACTGGTATCCCGTTGGCTGTTTTTCCACTTCTCACCACGTCGTGAAAGTTTTCCTTAATCTTCGCCCATCATATTAAATCTGGTACTGATGTGAAGTTCATTCCTTGTGTTGACAATGTGTGTGCAAAAGTTTTCCTCCTAAGAATACTTCCTCACTGCAGATTCTCTTCCTTGTTACAATTATTTTGGTATTGAAGTTTGAGAGCGTGCTCGCTTCCATAACAATATCTTCATATCGGACCTTTTATCTTCTTCCAAAGAATCCCCCACCTCCCTTTTTGCAGGGTCTGCCGTCTCCCCCAGACATTCTGCTTCATGGCCTTGATGTAGGTGGTTAGTAGGACTCTTTCCCCAAAAAACTGACCCCCCCTTTTTTTTTTTAGAATGATCAACCAATGCCTTAATGTTCTAGGTTCCAAGGAAGCGCTCTCCAGACTCCTGTCAAGACTTTTCAAAATAAACACGTTGTTAAAAGGGATATTCTTTTGTGGTCGATAACAACATTACTGGTATATCTTACAACCAGGACATAATATTCCACTTTCATTGAAATTCTAGGCTTAGTTTTTAATCCATTCAAGATCCTTCCTTTCGAAAAAGAGTTTTCACAGCTTGTATGATGCCCCATCAGGTTCAAAGACCACAATGAAAAATGATTGATTAGATACCTGAAAATGGTTCCTGAAGTGGCCACCTGTGAATTCATGCAACTGTTCCCCCAGCCACGTTTGCAGAGCATTGACTAAGCTTCCGGTTTCAGTAGAGGTAATCCTTGACTTACAAATCGTTTCTTTCGCAACCATTCAAAGTCATGAGGGCACTGCAAAAGTGTCTTATGACTGGTTCTCGCACTTATGACCATCTCAGCATCCCCACAGCCACCTTCTGGGCATTTGACAACCAATATGTATTGTTGACAGTTGCATCTTCCTGGCTTCATGTGTGAAGGCTATTGTGACCTTCCCAGCTGGCCTCCGACAAGCTGAGTCAATGGGAGAAGCTGGATTCTCATAACAAGCATGGCAATTCACTTAGCAACTGTGGTGAAAAGGCCGTAAAATCAGGCCTGACTCACTTAATGGTTCAATTGCTTAGGGATGGAAGTTCTGGTCCTGATTGTAGTTGTAAGTTGAGGACTACCTCTACTAGCTAGATCAGAGGAAAGGCTGGCCCAAGCATTGGCCATCGGAGAGAAGAGAGGTCTGAGCGGGACAGGGCAGGATCTGATGTCCTGCAAAATTCAACCCATTGGGTTAAATTGTGTGTCTGCGTGTGTGTATTTACCGTACATGCACATACACTCAATTGTGGTTTATTCAGATTAATCTGTGGGAAGTATGTTTTTGCCCTCTGAGCTGCTGCTTTAGCTCCAGGTTTAGTCAGGTGGCCTGTGGCTCCAACTGGGCACCCATCTCCTCCACCCTCTTTGCCCAGCCTGCTCCCGTCTGCTCTTCTTCTACAGCCCCAACGTATTTTGCCAGCTTCTTGTGCATTTTCCTGTGTATTTTCTCTGCCTGCAACACCCAGGCTTCATGGTTTTATGTTAAGGTGGGGGTGACTTTGTATTTCAGGATACAATGGGGGTGCGCTGGCCAGATTTGCGGGATCAGTTATGTTTTTCCATCAGATCTGCCAGCCGGAGTCTCTCTATGCTCCGGCTGTGACTTCCTAAACTGCAGACTAGCCGATCTCATTTTAGCCTTGTTTGTTTGGGGAACTCGACCTGTTTCGTTAGCTGGTGGTTCCGTGTGTTTCCCATGAATCCAGAAAACGGGATTGTGTTAACCATGGGTGAGTGTGTTACGCAAACACAACCTATGTCTTTGGATTACTATGATGGAAATGAAATGCGGGTATCAAATTTTATAAATAAATAAAACAAACTAAGAATGCTGAATCCTTGTGTTTGTTCTGAATACTAAAACTGAAAGGAACTTGCAACCTTCTGGGCAAAACTCCTTCTTCATTCTGTGTTTTGCATTCTTCATTCTGCATTCTAAACTTTCCTTATTAGAGCAGATTAACATAATTTTCTGCTGTTGTAAGGTCGTTCGGGAGTTCGAAATCTGTAACCTTCTACCGCAAACAAGAAAGTCCAGTTGTCTCCTGAAAAAGCACCTTTAGGACAACCAGGACCTGGACGACGGAGAAGCTCTACAGACCTCTACTGCAAATCATCCAGACACCTACAGGTGTGTCACAGCTCTCCTCGCCCTCACCTTTACACAAAGGCTTCCTACGAGTTTACTCGGCCAGCTAATTTTACTACGAACAAACTACGGTCAGAAGGAAGCCGATGTCCCAGGGTCTATGAGCCTCTGGATGGCAGGTGAAGGTAACTGGGGTTTCAAGTGGTGGCTTTGCTAATCCTTCCAATTGAGGGTCCAGGGACCAGACTTTGAAAAAGCCCGGCGATAGGGTGGGGGAGATTTCTATGCCAATGGTATATGCTGGAAATCTACAGTGCATGCAAAGTTTTAAGCAGCCGTGGTCATTTTTGTTTTGTTTCAGTGAATTTATAAGTAAGTGGACGTTGACTCAACCACCATGTGCTAGAAAGTTAGATTTTTCTGCAAATGGGAACGCCTGCTTACTACTTAGATGGCATTATTTTCAGATTCCAATTAAGAAAATAATTATGTGGCAGGTGCAAAAATGTGGACAACCTTCCAGTCAGTATTTTTGTAGCTTGGTGGAAATAACAGCTTCCAAATGTTCTTCTTGTAGCTAGCTAAGGGTGTTTCGTCATTGTTTTTGGAGCTTTTCCCCACTCTATTTTGCAGAATAATTCTAGCTCAAAAATACTCTTAGGACTCTGCATAATACTTTACAAATTCAAGAGATCCCTATTTGAATAATATTCAAGTTCTGGGACTGTGAAGGTCATTCCAAATCCCAGATCTTTCCTTCCTGAGTCATTTCTAAATATGGCGGATGGTTGTCACACTAAGATAACTTCCTTGCTATGGGAAAGTAGCCCCGTTATCCTTCAGATTATGAGAGAACTACAAGCACAAGAAGTACAAGAAGCCACCGGTGGGAGATCATTCAAGAGAGATTCAACCTAGAATGAAGGAGAAATTTCCTGATGGTGAGAACATTTAACATTGGGATGGGTTGCCTTCAGAAGCTGTGGGTGCTCCAACACTGGAGGCCTTCAAGAAAAGACCGGACAGCCATTTGTCTGGAATGGTGCAGGGTCTCCTGTTTGGGCGGTGGGTTGGACTAGAAGACCTCCAAGGTCCCTTCCAACTCTGCATCTTCTTGTCTGAAGAGAAACTGGATGGTTCTAGATCACTTCTTGAGGCAAACTGAAAACTACTAGTCTCCACAGTCCCTTCCAACTGTTTTTCTGTATTTTGTATTCTGAAACTACACTTACATCAACCTCAAAATGGCTCCCATGCCTGCTGAACCTTTAAACCAGGGCTGGGCTTCAAAAATTTTAGCAAGGAGTTCTCTGCCCGGTTGCTGGCTGGGTGTGGCCTAATTGACCTCCTGCACCACGGGGTGTGTGTGTGTGTGTGTGTGCATTTTTGCCCTCCGGAGGCTTTCCTTGAGCCTCCGGGAGGGTGAAAACAGCCTCCCCAGGCTCTGGAGGCCCGGAGCCTCTTCCCAAACTTCCGGTAGGTGTGTTTTTCACCTTCCCTGAGCCTCCGTGCATGCCCTGCACTTACTTGCATCCAAAACGGGCTGCGTGGGGACTCCTGGGAGGGGTGGGCGGGGCCAGCCAGGAGTGGGATTTGGGGTTCTCCAAACTGCACAGAATCTTAGCTAGAGGTTCTCCCAAACCCCTCCGAACCCCCAGCAGCCCAGCCCTGCTTTAGACAGAGAATTTCCAGGATATGGTCAAAAAAAGTATGGAAGGCAGCCAGGCGCATGGAAAGAACCCAGAGCTGGGTTTGCCCCATCATGCCTGTCCTCCTGACCTTCCCAACCAGGAGCAGTTAACGCAGGCTTGTGGGGATGATGGCTTGGGCTCCAGCCTCAGGGTCTCCGCACCTGAGGTGAGCAGAACAGGGGAGATGGGTCTTCCTGACACAGGGGTATAAGGGAGGCAGGCAGGATGGCAGGCCACAAACGAAGCCTCTTGTTCTTCTGTGGGGGAGTGGCTGATGGAGCTACTTCACTCTGAAGAACGATGGACTACGAACTGAGAACTTCAAGCCCGGAAGGAAGGGAGAAAAGTCTCAAGACAGAGGGAGCCTTTGTCCCCAGCTGCTTTCCTGTGGATGTTCCTTCAAGGCCTGGGGCCAGATCCGTTCTTCAGTAACGGGTACAAGGAGCTCAGGGCCCGTGTGGGTTGCCATTGGCATTTCCCCCCATCCAAAATTTTTTGAAAAAATCCAAACAAATCTTTTAAGAGTTTTTCCTAGACAACACAAACACACACAACACTCTCTTTCCAACTCTGGTCAATTGGGGAGCGTGTCCAATAGCTTTCCCAGGAAGTTCCTTGGGTGTGGAGTTTTGCTAAACCAGGAGAGCATCAAGCAAGCAGCAAGGAAGGAGGTCTACAACTCTTTCACAGCTCAGTTGTCGGTACAGTAAGCCTCTGCCAGCTGGGTTGACGGAGATGATTCCTTGTCATTTCCACGAGTGGAGCAGCTATATAAATAAATTAAATAAAATCCTCAAGTTGAATGGTCAGCGCTGTATTCCTTCTCTTCATTTATGACCCTCTAGCAAACACACATAAGGGAAACTGATCAGGAACAATTCAGACATTTTTCTTTCCTTCCTTACAAAACTGCAAGGCAGCAACAGCCTAAAGACTGGCTCGGGGGGGGGGGGCCTTCAGATTTGGGGTAGTTGATACATTAATATCATATCCTGCCTCCCCCCCCCACTCATCCGACTCCCTTCCTCCCCATCTTTTAGCTATTGCATTATGTAATTTTTACAGCTTTGTAGTATTCTATTTCTAGAGTTTTATCTTTTAATGTTGCAAGGTGTCCAGAGTTACCCTGTGGTAAGGTGGGTGGCCAATTTATTTGATCAATAAAACAAATAAATACAATAATCAAACTAATAAATAAATAATAATAAAATACAGTAATCCAGGAAGGCTGGATCGTCCCCTTGCTCATTGAATAAAAGCAGATGTTGGGAGTTTGCACCCCCACAGATGTGGAAAATATGGGTAAAGAAGCTCCTAAGGGGCCCTGGCTGCTTGTCTTCCTGGGTTAATACAGTTCTGCGTATTTCTCACATAACCGCAATTCAGCCTGTGGAAAAAACATCTCCGTGTTAATTACTTGGGTGGGAGCTGCATGAAATGAACTGGTGGAAGCCCAGGCTCTCTTCCTTCTCCTCAAGGGAGGGAAAAATAAATAAATCACATGCTGGAGATTATAAATACTTATGAAACATCCCGCAGAGCTGTTGCTTAGCAATCCAGTGAGGCATCGGGGCGAGCCAATAAGGCAGGCCAGAGCGTTCTTCAAGGGTGATTAAAGACTCACATTTTGTTGTTCAGATCAATATACAGTACTGTATGGAACTTGATCCGGCTTACTGGCAAGAGGTGCCTTTAGGGTGGTGAGGAGACGGGAGTGCCTCGCTGGATACGGAGTGGGCACAAGCGTTTCACCCAAGTGGGCACAGGAGCTCAGCCAACCAGTCAGCAGCTGCACTTTCCAGGTAAAAATCCCAGCCAGGCAGGGACCTGAAAAGTCAGAAACAATGTGAAATGAACCGGAGCCCACGGAAACTGGCAAACAGTCACACCATGGATCGTGGCCTGAGAAAAACAAGACAAGACAGCAGCAGAAGAGACTCTTGTACAGAGAGGAGCAGCCAAGATGACAAAGGATCTGGAGGCTAAATCCTCAGGCCAATGGTTGAGGGAGCTGGGTGACGTTCTAGCCCAACGAAGAGAAGGACCAAGGGGGGACATGAGAGCCATTTCCCAATATTTGAAGGGCTGCCACAAAGAAGTGGGGAGGTCGACCTAGTCTCCAGAGCACCCGAGGACGGGACAAGCAGCAACGGATGGAAACTTATCCAGGAGAGAAGCAGCCTAGAATCAAAGAGCTCTAAACTCTGCCAGGATCACAGAACAGACGGGAGGTCTCTGGGGGCCTCCCCATGTTGCTGAAGCACAACTATTCACATTCTACTGATACGGAGCCAGTTCATAAGGAGACACGAGAGGTTCAATCTAGGCTGGCACAGTCTTTCCGTTGCTACCGAAAAATGTTTTCACAGCATTCTATGCTCACTAAACCCATAGTACATATTTTATACAGGATAATTCCAAATTTCTGTACATAATTCAACATTCTATTCACATTTTAATGTTGTATCAATGTTCCCATATCCACCCAATGGATATTAAAACCAAAATAGGGCGAGGTTGGAGAAAACTCAAATGGTTTGTATAAAGGTCCCTTCAATCTATTTAATTCATTTTATTCGATTTTAAATTTTGTATATGTATGTGTTTTATTTCATGGCTGTTCACCGCCCTGAGTCCTTCGGGAGTAGGGTGGTATAGAAATTCAATAAAATAAATAAATAAATAAATCGTTGGATCCTTCTAGCATAATAAAGTTTGTAGCCGTCTCTTTTTAAATCTTCTCTGAGGTGTCTGGTAAACAAACGAAAAGTATTTTGTTGAAATAGCCACCTCTTCACATCACAAGAATCAGACCTAGTCTTAAAATTTAAGACCCTTCAGTGCCGATGCTTGTCCCTGTTGCATTCCAGCCAAGGCATTTTCTGCCCTCCTCCCCTCACATAAATAAATTGTGTGTGTGTGAGGGAGGGAGAGACAGAGAGACGTTGAGATGGGTGGCGTATAGATTTAATAAATAATGTATATGTGTCTATATCTCTGAATCTCTAGATCTATGTGGATATTCAGGTTAAACTTGCACTTTCCTGCC